TACATAGCCATTAGTTTCTTTGGAATCATCTGATAAGGTATTCCAATCTGCACCATTATATCCTTCAGGTACAATAGGAAATCTATGATAATGTAAACCGAGATTCATGATCCTTTTAAGGTACCGTATGACTCGCTCACTAGCTTGTCAATATTCATTGCTCGGTCTACTAGTAAACCCGCACAACAATCCCATGACATATGCAATGTCAGGTTTAGTACAATCAATGGAATACCTAAGACTTCCAATGATGCTCGCATGTTCTGTTTGTCTAACACTTTCACCAGTGTTCTTAAACAGCTTCACGATTGGATCATTTAGTGTGCTCACAAGTTTACTATCAAAGTAATTATATTTCTTTAAGATCTTTTTCACATATTGTGATTGATCCAAAGAAATTCCTTGCTCGGATTTTGTGATCTTGATACCAAGAATCACACTCACTTCTCTGAGTTCTTTCATATCAAAGTTGTTGCACAACAACGATGTCATATCATTAATGGCCTGGATGTTTGATCTAAATATGAGTAGATTGTCTACATATAGACATATGATAGTACAAATACAATTCTCAAATTTGTAATAAACGTATTTGTCACTTTCATTCACTTTGTACACATTCGATATCATTAAGTTATCAAACTTTACATGCCATTGCTTTGGAGCTTGTTTTAGCCCACACAAAGACTTATCTACTTACGTACCTTGTTTTCTTATCCATAGATCACAAACCCTTCCGGTTGTTTCATATAGATTTCTTCTTCTACGTCACCATTTAAAAAAGTTGTTTTAACATCCATTTGGTGTACTATTAAGTTATAAATAGCAGCTATTGAAATAAGTACCCTAATGGATGTAATTCTAGTGACAGGAGAAAAGGTGTCGAAGAAATCTATATTTTCTCTTTGTATAAAACCTTTGGCAATAAGGTAAACCTTGTATTTATCAATAGTTCCATCAGGTTTTAGTTTCTTTTTCAAAACCCATTTACAACCGATTAGTTTGCAACCAGGAGGTAAGTCTACTAAGTGTCAGGTCTTGTTAGATTCTAGAGATTATATCTCATCATTGATAGCTTCTTGTCATAACTAAACATCCAGAGATAAAAATGCTTCTTGAAGATTCATTGGATCTTCTTCTACATTATAAGCCGCATAATCAGGCCTATAGTCTTTAGCAACTCTTACTCGTTTACTTCGTTGAAGTTTTGTTTCTACATTGTTGTTGCTTTCTGTGCTTCTTATCACATGAATGTGACTCGATTGTGTGCCCCCACTATTTCTCAATTTGAAAGGAAATTTGTCTTCATAGAATTCAATATCAGTTGATTCTATGATCACTTTTGCCTTTAGGTCATAAAACCTATATGCTTTATTGTTTGCTGCATACCGAATGAAAACACATTCATATGCTCTACTAGCGAGTTTAACTCGTTTCAAATCCGGAATTCTAACGTAAGTCAGACAACCCCAAGTTCTCAAATAAAACAAGTTTGGTTGTCTTTTCTTTAATATATCATAAGGAGAGATCTTACATTTTGACTTGGGGACTCTATTCAGGACATAGCAAACAGTCAATAAAATTTCCCCCACCAGTGAGGAGCAGCATCAGAATTCATCATAATTGCAACAACATGTTCAGTAAAAGTTCTATTCTTTCTTTCTATTTTACCATTCATTGCAAGATAGTATGGTGCAGTCGTTTCTTGTACAATTCCATGTATAAAATTCATTAATAGACTAGACTCATACAGTTTCTCTATCACTATAAATTCTTATTATATCATTTTCAAATTCTATACAAAAAGTTTTAACATATAAACTTCATTCTTCGTAATAGCGTACAAATCTACCCCAATAGACTAACTAAACCATGTCTTATTTGAAAGAAAACCAGAAACAATATTCTTTCTAATCTTAGGAACCTGCATAACGTTCTTTAAGATTAAAGTCTTTTTGAAGGTGAAATTTAGCTCCATGTCTACAATTCCAGCAACATTCATGGTCTGGCCATCTCCCAACAACACTTTCTTATCTTTAGTATTCATGTATGTTTTAAACATAACACGATCATAATAGACACAACGAGAGACACATGTGTCTATCCACCAACCAATATATCTATCAACCATGTTGATTTCAATGACCATAGCAATAAATTGCCCATTAGTCAGGTTGACCTGTGCATTAGGGACAACACCAAGTTCAAGCTTACTTCTACATTTCTTAGTCATATGACTTGATTTTCCATAATTAAAACAAAGAGAAACCAACGTCATTTCTTTTAGGTGGTGGTTGTTGCCTAGTTGGAGCTATTGGGATCATAGAAGGATTCCCATTCTTAATTCGGTTCGCAATATTGTGGTTCTGATTCTTTAATCATTTGCCAAATGGCTTCAGAACTACACCGAATTTCTTTTTGTTGTTTAAAACAACCAAGACTTTTTCTTTTTGATTTTGTCTCTAAGATTCCCTTTTTGTTTTTTTTAAACATTCAAACTATGGGGTAGTTTGTCAATAATAAAACCAATTTTAAATTGTTCATTTAAACACATACCTTTTGTGATGATCTTTTAAGCAATCTTTTGAAGTTCGTAATATTGATCCTCCATCGACCTTACATCTTTGCATTTGATACTTTAAGTAGCGGCTAACAACATACTTCTTTGCTCCAGCTTCTACGTCATACTTCTTTTTCTAAGTCTTTCAATCTTGTTTTGCAGTATCACATCAACTGTAATTATCATACAGATCATCTGCGAGTCTATTCAAAATATGATTTTGTAGAGATTTTCATTCTCTTTCTATAAGGTGATTTCTTTACTATGCTGTAAATCATTCGCTTTAATTTGTGCAGCAGATTCAACTTCAGCACTATTAAGTGTTCCTCTAAATCTCCAAATTTACTACCGTTAGTTTGTTCGATTGATCCAGAAGGAGCAACAGAGTGTCATCGATCAAAACATTAGCAACTTTTTTCAACATTAAGAACTTCATCTTTTGTTGCCAACGTTTGAAGTGACTTCTCTCAAACATGAACGATTTCTCAATGACAATATCCGCAAAAGAACCAATAATTTCTTTGATAGCTGTGGCAATTTGAAACGTCTTAAAATTATTGGTTTCGAATTTTAAAATATTTTCCACCGAAGAAATTACCAGGTTGAGTCGCGGACTAGGTCGCTCTCTTTAAGACGTTTCGCGGCACTGCTCAAAAATTATGCAAAGCAGTCGAACTACCGCGCCGCCTCCAGGATAAAACAGCCCAGTTCTATACTGTATGATTACTACTTGCATGATAGATAATCGGTCTAGAAATACACCCTCTTATGGTACAAGACCATTCAAATATAGTATCAACACCACTCGTAGTATCTGATACAAAGACCAGTCATAATAATTTCTCAAACAAAAAGAAACTCAAATAATTCTCCAAAGAGAAATTAATAATGGTCATTTGACCACTCATAATAATTTCTCTAACAAAGAGAAATTCAAATAATTCTCCAAAGAGAACCCAAAATATTAAACTTGAAAATTTCTCAACTCAAATGAGGAGAAATTAACATGATTCTCTAAAGAGAATTCAAGAAAATACTCGGAAAATTCAACGAGTAGGAAGAAAGGGGAAGAAGATGGTGCTTCGACAATTCGAGAGACGCGGAGTTATGAGAGTGAGGAAGGAAAAACTAATAGAGTAGTTTTTGGTGTGATTTGGAATGAAACATATGCACTCCTTATATAGTGAAGTAGGATAGTTAATATTTCTCACATGAGCAATGTGGGACTAAATGGTTTTTCAACCAAAAAAATATTCTAACAATGTGGAATTTGAGAAATTTTTTTAATTCAATATTATTGGAACATGGACATGTTCCAACACAAGTACCTCACACCTTCGTCTGATCCTGGATAGAGAAAATGCATCCACACCCCTCTAGAAGCCTCTATGTTGACAAGAAAGAAAGGGAAGGAAGAAGCCACTTCAGCTCGACCTAAGAAAAATAATCCTACGAGAGCTCAAATCTTAGATGACAAGATTCTACGATCCCTAGAAAACCCCCTCAAAATACAAGATTACAATAAAAAGTGAGACCTCGAGAGCACGTCAAACATGTAGACGGTCGTATAGGCTATTACCACGCGGACGAAGACATAAACTGCAAATTATTCACACTTGCTTTGACAGAATCTGCTCGAGACTAGTATAAATCCCTACCCGATGGAATCATGGACTCGTGGTCTGAGTTCTGCAAAAAATTTACGGTCCATTTTACTTCTAGAAAAAGACTACATTTGTGTTTGGTTGTGAGAAGAAAGTGTGAAGAGAGAAAGATGTGACAAAGAGTATGAAGAGACATAAATAAATGAGAAATAGAGTTGATTGCTATAAGTGAAAGATAGAAGTAATAAGTATGGATTATTTTTTAAATTACTAAAATACTTGTAATTAAAAATTATTAATTTAAGTTATTTAACTTTTAATTTATTTCACTTGATTATTATAATTAAATTAGTTTATATAGGAAAAAACTCACAACAATGTTTTAAATAACTTTATAAAATTTTAGTTGAATTATCTCTTCAGCTCTCATTGTATCATAATGTTATTGGATATATTATACAATAATAAAACAATTTTGATTTTACAAGACTAAAGGCTAAATTAGTAAAATAATAAAATATAGCACGTTTATTTGCTTTTCATTACAACTTTTTCAAAGCATTTGAGAGAAAGAATATTTCTATGGGTCCCACTATTTTTTACTCTCTCTCCTTTATTTCACCTCATTCCAAGCTGAAGAAATTGCATTGATCTTCTAAACTTCTCTCTTTACAAGTTCTCTCTTCTCAACTTCTATAAAACAAGCATACCCTGCAAGTAAGTATGGTTTCCCTCATCATGGTTTGGGTATAAAGAATATGGTGGAGTTCAATTTATCCCTTTTAAATAAATGGAGATGGAGAATTATTCAAGGTCAAAACAATTTATAGTTTGAAATGTTAAAAACTTGGTATGGTGGTATGTCGATCAAAACCTTGTGTGGATATGCTTCCAAAGTAACATCTTCTTCTAGTTCTACTTGGTGGAGGGATATTATTAGGATAAGGGAACTATCTTTTGAATATCCTATCATCTCTAATAGTAGATTTCTAATGGGTAATGGTTTTAAAACTTCTTTTTGGGAAGCTAAATGGTTGGAGGATATAACTTTGAAGGAGCTTTTTCTGGATTTATATTTGGCTTCTTGTTTGAAGGAAGTGACGGTGGCGGGTATGGGGGGTTGGATTGAAGAGGGGGTGGATTTAGGGTGATTTGGGTTTATTAGTCGGTACGGCGAATAATCCTCATATCTTGGCCGAATATGACTTATTGAAAGAGAAGTTGGAGGAGTTCGGTGGGGTGTCAGAGGGTCCGAATTTGGTTGAGTGGATGCTTAATCTGTAGGAAGGTTTTTTGATGTCCTCTTGGTATGTTTTCTATGCTAGTTTATGGGTTCTGTTTGGTCCTCTCAATAGGAATGATGTTGCTTTATGCTTGATTTGGAAGATGGAGGTGCCTTTTAAAATTAATGCTTTTTGTTGGAGACTTTTGTTGATAGACTTTTAACAAAGGACTTCTTGGTGTATAGAGGTTTTTTTACCTATTGATTCTTAAAAGTGTTATTTTTGTGAAATAGACTTAGAAAATAGGGACCATTCTTTTCTTTTGTGTGTAATTGTAATACGGTGGGAGAACTAACTTGTTTTGTGTTTTATCACAAATGTTGTAGATAGCAAGAGTCGCCGCCGACTTTTCCTTTATCTAATAAGGAAAGGGTGAAAAGAATAGGAAAGATCTTGATAGATTTTGAGTTCAGGGGGTAGGTTATTAAAAGGGAAGGTGTTAGCACTCTTTTCATCTATAGTTATCTATGGGCTCTTAATTGCTTAGCTCACTGTGATCGGTGGGAATATAACTGACTGTTTTGGAATGCTGGTTCGCGTTTGCGTTTGTTTTCACAAAATGTCGCGGTAAGCAAGAGTCGCCATCGTCTTTTATTTTATCCAACAAGGAAAGGACAAAAGCACAGAAAAATTCCTTTTCGAGATGTTTCTCGGGTTCGGGAGGTAGATTATAGAAAGGGAAGGTGTTAGCATCCTTTCTATCCGTGGTTATCCACGGGCTCTTAGGTACTTGCTCATTGTGTTTTCAAAAGTGCTTTTCTTTGTGTTTGTGGGTTTTGAAAAGAGTTTTCATTTTTTGAAGAGAGTGTAAGTGCGAAAAGTTTGTTTTTGTTTTCAAAAAGAGCAAGTACTCAAGAACCTCTACCTACTCAAAAAGGAATTAAACTGTGCAAATGTCCTTTAGACAGTTTTATCCCACTATTGAGGAGTAGGTAGCATCATCGTTGGAGTTTTAAGGGTCAATTTGATTTTAGGGATGTGTGGTCACTAAAGCAACGTTAGGACGCCTTAGCGGTAACCCTAATGTCTTAGATCATTTTTCCGAGGCAACTGTTTCGAGGCAACTTATGATCTTTGGACAAGAGGACGACCTCTAAAACATCCTATACTCAATGACCACATTTGAGGAAACCAAGTGAGGCGTACCCTAGGAGTGGCATGTGCAAGTGTGTCAATTTTCAGTTTGTATTATCTTTGTACATGTTATGGTGAGCTACGGTTGATTTTAAGTTAAGATAGATCTTGTCATGCATAGCCTATTATTCATACATCTAGCAGTTAATGGTTGCGGAAAATAAATTGCAGAAAATAAAGCTAAGCTATTACAAGGCGTCGGGTATTTACATCGCCAAAAACAAACCCTTAAAATTAAATGCGAAAAGGGTAAATAAAAGCGGTAAATAAAGTCCTAAGTTAAAACTATTACATCCTCGGAGCAATTACAATATATGGATCAAAATAATATGCGCGAGAAAAGTTGAATCAGATTGTCTTTTAGGGTTTTGACCTTTTTTTTTATTAAACATATTTTTGGTCTTTTTTTATTTAAGAATTAAGTCTAACTTAATAATGGAATTAAAAAGAAAATATTTTTTGAGTTTTATTTTAATTAAAGCAGTAAAATCAGAAATAAAATAAAAACCTAAGTCTAAGTTAATTTTAATTTATTGTAAAAAATGTTAAGATTAAACCTAATTAAAAAAGATAAATTAATTGGTTAATGGTTTATTTACCAAAATAAGTAATAAAATTAAAATAAAAATATTTTTGTTGTTTCTAATTTTTTTTATGAAAAAGAGTTAATTAGTTAATTAATTAATTATGATAAAAAAACAGTGAAAAGAAAAATAAAGAAACAAACTCAGGGGTGTTGGGCTCGTAAAGGGAGTATGAACTGCAATTTCCAGGCCAGAACGTCCAGCCTGTTGGACTTTCAGATTGCCTGGGCGTTTACTGACCAAGGTTCATGGTGAACCTCCATCCTTAGCCATTGGATCTGCCTGGGAACCACCTGGCACGTTGAGATCTGAGGACGTATGGTAGTCCCTGCCTGAAGCGCTGCATCTGAGTACCTGAAGAAAAAAGGTAACAAAGTTTTGGGGGACCTGGGATTCGAATCTAGGTCCCAGGGGGTTCTGTAACGCACGCTTCACCAACCAGCCAATCTGCTTCATTCGTTAGTTAAATGGAAAACAAATATTATATACAAACAATACTTATGCCTGGCCAAAAAATAAAAAACGCGCAATTGATTCAAATGAACCAATCACGCTCCACCATGTAATCGTCTTCTTCACAAGACCTGGTTCGGTTACCTGCGGATTTTTATCCACAGGAGGTTTCGTGGGATGGTTCTAAAATGCTCCCTAGGTCACAACGATGGAATCCAAGAGTACTATTGTACTCGTCTCACTCCCCTGAATTCAATTATGGCCATTGTTGGCCTTGATTTAACCTGCACGCAAAACGCCTAAAAAACATACACAAGAACCCTAGGTTCTGGATATGGGGTTAGAGATCACGAAAATACAATCAAATAATTCAGTTTGCTTAGGAATTTAATAGTTAATACAAATATGCAAGAATTTTGGCACAAAGATGCATAAAAATTGAGTTACGATTCCATGTACAGAGCAAGGTTCAAGGGGGCTTACAGTGCGTTAGAGGCAGTGAAAGGCTTGGCTTTTGATTGGTCTCACTTCAGGAGGTTGCTGGCAGGCGATCGGAACCTTTGTTTGGTCTTGAAAAGGTCTCTAAGCGCAACTTCAGATCCAAGATTATCAAGCTTTTTCTCAAAGTTGTGGCGTCGTTTCTGCAGAGTTTCTGTGTCTTTTTTTGTGTCTTTCACGTGTGTCTGCAGCAGGGTTTCATGTCTGATTTGTTTATGAGCATGAGGTTTATATAGCCAAGGAAATTAGGTCAACATTTGTGTATCAAATCTTGGTCCATTATGATGAAGAGATTTGATTTGATTTCTTCATAAAGACTTGCTATATTTGATTCAATCAGGTTCCAATCTATTTCCATGCGTTACTGCCAGCCTGTTATGAGCTGTTTGGGCCTCCAATATGATGGAAATCAAAAGCTGACTTGCCCTTTCGAATTTGCTCTCTTCGATTGCTTCAAAGTCCCAATTCGAACTACTCCAGTCACAGCCCCTTCGATTGAGACTCCCCCTGCTTCGATTGCATATTTTCAAGGGACACATGCCATTGTAAACTTTGGGTATTCTGGACAGGTTAGGATATGTGTTTTTTTTCCTAGTCATGCCAGCCTACTTCCTTCCTTCGAATCTGCCTTCTTTGCCAGCTTCAAAGTCCAATTCGAATCTATTTAGAGCATTCCCTATTAGACAACTTTGACCAGCCCTTGTCCTTGTGATGAGTCTAAGTTCTGATTCGAAGTGTCCAGAACTTCCTTCATCAGAGCATCTTAGATTAAGAAAAACTCTGCACTGAAATACCATTCGAAGGTCATTTCGTTCTGATGTTCTGATTGAGGTAAAGTATAAAGTTCCAGTCGAAGGACCCTCTGAAGTACTAGTCGAAGCATTTGTGAAATTGACTTGATCAAAGGGGTCCAGCGCTCAATCGAAGACTTTCACATCAAGGCTTGATCGAAGGAGGTCCAGCGCTCAATCGAAGACTTGCACATCAAGGCTTGATTGAAGGAGGTCCAGCGCTCAATCGAAGACTTGCACACCAAAGCTTGATCGAAGGAGGTCCAGCGCTCAATCGAAGCTTACTAATCAAAGCCGGATCGAAGAGTGTCCAGCGCTCAATCGAAGACTGGTGAGTCAAGCCTGATCAAAGAGTGCCAAATGCCCAATCGAAAACTGGTGAACCAAAACCTGATCGAAGAGTGCCAAATGCCCAATCGAAGACTGGTGAACCAAGCCTGATCGAAGGATTTTGGATGCCCAATCGAAGACTTTTCCCAGATGCCAATCGAAAGACACTTTGTTCATCTTCAAAAAACTTTATTTTCCTTAGGCAAGTGTTTGTGACCAACCATGTAAGGGAAGACCTTTGAAAACATGAGAGGGCAAATTTTGGAGTACAACAGTTGCCCCTGTTCAATTTTCTTAAACCTGAGGATGTAGATTGGCTTGCATGCCTTTCGTGATCCAAAGGTGGAAGATAATTGAACACTAGAGTGCCCAGAAATTTGCACTCGCATGGTGTAGTATCAGCATTGTGATGTCGGGAATGGGCTTACAGATGCCATTTGGAGATTGTTGGTAGGAGGATAGGCTTATAGATGCCATCTGCAGGAGTGTCGATCGCATAAGAGATTCCTTAGCGAGAACTTGCATACCTGAGAAAGAAAGATGGTCTTCCTGGCTTGTTACAGGTGTTAATCTTCAATCTCTTCATGTAGATAATTTTCCTGGCTTGTTACAGGTATTTAATCTACAATCAGTCATCCACAGATATTTTTCCTGGCCTGTTACAGGTATTAATCTGGAACTTGAAAAGGTTGGTCGAGGAGATAGCTGTCTTGGCTGGTTTTAGGTATTAATCTCTGACCTGAGAAAGAAAGATGGTCTTCCTGGCTTGTTACAGGTGTTAATCTTCAATCTCTTCATGTAGATAACTTTCCTGGCTTGTTACAGGTATTAATCTACAATCAGTTGTCCACATATATTTTTCCTGGCTTGTTACAGGTATTAATCTAAAACTTGAAAAGGTTGGTCAAGGAGATAGTTGTCCTGGCTGGTTTCAGGTATTAATCTCTGACCTGAGAAATAAAGATGGTCTTCCTGGCTTGTTACAGGTGTTAATCTTCAATCTCTTCATGTAGATAATTTTCCTGGCTTGTTACAGGTATTTAATCTACAATCAGTCGTCCACAGATATTTTCCTGGC